TACAAATATGATTTATTACATTAATTGACTTTCAGATGTTAAACCAATTTTCCATTCCTGGAATAAATCCTACTCAATTATGGTGTATAATACCTTCTATCTGTTAACGTATTTGATTTACTAACAAATTGTTGAGGATTTTTGTGTCTGTATTCACAAAGAATACTGGTGGTATAATCTCTTTTAATTAGTGAGTTTAAGTCATGTGCTCTTTTTTTGGGGGGGGAGCCACACCACAGTGCATGTGGAACCTCCCTGATCAGGGATGGAACCCATGCCTCCTGTAGTGGAAGTGCAGTCTTTTTTTTTTTTTTTCTTTTTAAAAATATGGAACGCTTCACGAATTTGCGTGTCATCCTTGCGCAGGGGCCATGCTAATCTTCTCTGTATCGTTCCAATCTCAGTATATGTGCTGCCGAAGCGAGCATGAAGTGCAGTCTTTTTTAACATTGATTTTTATCATAGAGTATAGTTGCTTCACAGTGTTGTCTTAATTTCTGCCGTACAGTCAAGTGAATCAGTTACACACACACACCCCCTCTTTTTAGATTTCCTTCCCGTTCAGGTCACCACAGAGCACTAAGCTGAGTCCCCCGTGCTATACAGCAGGCTCTCATTAGCTTATCTGTTTTACACATAACAGTGTATATATGCCAATCCCACTCTCCCAATTCATCCCACCCACCCACCTTGGTAGCTGTAAATTTTTTCTCTACATCTGTGTCACTATTCCTGCTTTGCAAATAAGTTCACCTGTACCATTTTCCTAGACTCCAAATATAAACAATATTATACAGTATCTGTTTTTCTCTTTCTGACTTATCTCACTCTGTATGGCAGTCCCTAGGTCTATCTATGTCTCTGCAAATGGCACTGTTTTGTTCCTTTTATGGCTGAGTAATATTCCATAGTGTATGTGGACCACATTTTCTTTTATCCATTCCTCTGTTGATGGACATTTAGGTTGGAAAGTGTGGAGTCTTAACCACTGGCCCACCAGGGAAGTCCCATGCTCTCTTAATATAATTATTGATATTGGTGAAACTAACATTTTATTATTTGCTTTAAAAAAAAAATTCTTCTGCATTCTTTTGAGTTAAGATTTTTTAAAACTCCATTTTAATTTACCTATTGTGTATTTGACTAAATCTCTTTGTATAGTTTCTTTAGTTGTTTGCTCTGGTGTTACAATACAGATAACAAGTCTACTTAGTCAATGTTTTACCACTTGAAGTGAACCTTAGAAACCTTACTACCATATTAAATCCCTACCTTATCCCATTTATTTTGTAAGTTGTCTTATATATTACCTCTGCATACACTGAAAGCCCCATTAGTGTCATTTTTTCAACTGTCAAATATATTTCAAATATCAAACTATTCACAGAAGAACAATCTATTATATTTGCCCAGATCTTGCTATTCCAAGTTTCTTCTGGTCTTAATAACTTAGCAGTTATTTTAGAGCAACTCTGCTGTTAATGATTTCTCTTAGTTTTCTTTTATCTGAGAATACTTAGTTCAACTCCATTTCCGAGGGTTATTTTTACAAGACACAGAATTCTGGATTAACAGTTCTTTTCTTTCAGCACTTTAAAAATGCTACTCATTTCTTCTAGCCTGCACAGTTTTGGTGAGAAATCTATAGTCTTTCACAGCATTCCCTTATAAGTGGTGTGTCATATAAGTGGTTGCTCACAGTATGTGTTTATTTCATAGCTATTTGATTATGGTATGTCTGGGCAGGGGTTTCTTTGTGTTTTACCCTGTTTAAGATTTGTCAAGTTTTTTGAATCTGTAGGTTTCACCGAACTTGGGAACATTTCAGTTATTATTTCCAAAAGTATTTCTTCTGCAACATATTTTCCGTTCTATGACTCACATGACACAATGTTAAATCTTTGGGTATTCTCTCTCCAGTTGCTGAGAATTAATTTTTCTGATCTCTATTCTTCAGACTGGATACTCTCCATTGAACTATCTTTAAGTTGACAAACTTCTTATCTCTGTTCTATTGAATCCACCCAGTGAGGTTTTATTTCTGTTAACTGTATTTCTCAGCTATAGAATTTCTATTTTGTTCTCTTTATATCTATTTTTTTGCTGAGAGTTTCTATCTTTCCATTCATTTTAAGAGAATCTACCCTTACTCGTTAGTCAGAACATTGCAGTAATAGCTCCTTTAAAGTCCTTGTCATATAATTCCAGTATCTTGTTCATCTAGGAGATGATGGCATTTGCTGATAGTCTTTCCTTACAAGTTAAGATTCTTTCAGGTTCTTTGTATGCCAAGTAATGGACATTTTCAATATTATAATATCTGACTCTTTTAAATCCTTCAGAGAATTTTTGATATTCTTCTTTTAGCAGAGTATCAACCTGGTTGTGTCCAAGCCACAAGTTCTGATTGGCCTTCTGTGGGTTGTAGTTCCAACATCAGTTTCAGTTTTCAAAGACTCTGCAGTGCTAATCAGACTTGACCCTGTGTGCACCATGTAGTAGCCAGTTTGGAACTTGAGCTATGATCTGCCGTATGTATAGTTCAGTTCTCAAAGTCTGTGTATGCTAGGAAAGTCCATTTTTATTCTTTACTTGCTAAAAATATGAGTATGTGCTGAATTTTATTAAGTACTTTTTCTGCATTTGAGTTGACTATATACTGTTTCTTTTGATTCTCACTTATGATGATTTATTTCCTTGTATGTTTGATTTCTGACTGTAAATTCATATTTGGTTGATTTTTGATAAATTCAGAAAACCTTTGTTTCAGATGTTCTAGCTTCTTGTAGGGTTCTCAGCTTAACACAAGTCTTGGGCTCATGGCCCCTTCCTGCAGAAGCAATGGGTGTACCCTGCTGTCTGTCATGCTTGCTTGCTTCTGCTTCCCATTCGGTTTCAGCTCACGTATTTGTCTGTACATGGCTTTATATTTATTGGAATAGGATTAGAAGACATTTCTGTTATTTCCTATAAATGCACAATTCATTAATAAGTATCTTATCCAGGAGCTACCTGTTTTGTGCTAAGAGAGCCCTCCTATTTGAAAAGTAAACATTTTACCTGTATTCCTTTGGTCATTATGTCTAACAGTCTAGAGGTAATTAATACAAGACTCTAGAAGACCATTCCAGTCTTATATGTTTCTGTCTGGTATATTTTTTACATTTGATTTTAAACTACTCAAATTAATGATTATTAGTATTATTCTAAAAAGTCAATGGTATCTTAAATTAATGTCTTGATTCACTATTCTTATATTCACATTCCTTTTGTTTCATTTCATTTTATTCTTCCTGGCATGTACCCTTTAGTAATTTCTTACATCAGTTTCAAATGATTTTAATTTAACTTCACCATTATTTCTGAGTGATTGTTCAGGTGGATATGTAATTTCAGCCAACTGTTATGCTCTCTTGTCATTTAAAGATTTTAGCCCATTGTCTCCTAATACTACAGTTCAAAAATCTGTTGTCTGCCTAATGGTCACATCGTTTCTCTTTGGAAGTTTTCTTCCAAAGATCTTATTTTTATTGCTTCATAAGATAAATCTAGGTGTAAGTTTGTTTTAATTTATCTGGTTGGGACTTTGTTTTCTCAGGCTGAGAAATTCCTTTCATAGTGGATTACTCTTTTTTCAAGCCACACAGTATGGCATGTGGGATCTTAGTTCTCCGATGAGGGATCAAACCCCCGCCACCTGCAGTGGAGGCACGGAGTCTTAACCATTAGACCACCAGAGAAGTCCCTGGATTACTTTTTTTTAGTTTCAGATTACAAGCTCCTTTTAGTAGGCTTATTTTTCACATACCCCCTCCCCCAAATTCCAGACAAAATTTCTTCTGTTCCTTAACTGTTTATTCAGTAGAGTCCCAATTCCTCAACATGGTAACAAGATAACAAGGCTCCTGTTTACCTTTTCTTGCTAAACCAACCCGTTCCTCTCTGTACCTTAAGTTCCCAGTCCCCAGGGCAACTTCTTTGATATCATATAATCCACCTTTATTACCCTGTTTCCTCAGCCTAAGAAGCTATCTTTCTGCCTCACAAAACCCATCTCTGCTCCTAGCTCTCAAAATTTATCAGACTGATAATGAACTAAATCACATCTTTTATGAAGTCTTTCCTATTTGTTCTGTCAGGCAGGAATGACTCTACAGCATATACAAAATTCTCTTATAAGATCCAAAAGCTTACTGCATTTGTTTATGTGTTTCAAAAACATTTCATCCTTTTCTCTCTCCCTTTCCTCCTACCCTCTAGTCACCAGGTTCTGTCAGTTCTGACACAGAAATGTCTCAGATCCACCCATGTCAAAGATATCCCACTACCCTATATGAAATCACCCAGGTTATTTTAAAAGCTTTCTGTGAGTTGCACTACTTCAGCTCTCCATTCATTCAGCAAATAATTATTAAGCATCTACTTTCAGCTGGTCATTTTGATAGGTCCTGGATCACAAAAAATAATGCATAGACCATGCCCATAAATAAACTGGAATTCTAACAGGATGAGGTAAGTACTATAAAAGGAATCAGTTCAAGGATGCCACTGAAGAAAGACCTAACCTGGTCTTGGGAAGCTCCAGAGAAATAAACAAAGAATGCTTCCAGGAGGAAATGAGGCCTAGAATATATGCAGAATATAGAAGAGTTGTGTTTCACCAAAGGGACACACACAAAAGGGAGAGACAAAAGCTAGGAGGCTAAGTAAGGGAACACAAAGTAGTTCAATTCTTAAAATCTTCAGTCCTTTCAAATTACTATTAAAGTTAACTAAAAGTAAATACAGATATCTAATACTTTGCCAGAAGGCAAGTCTAAATTCCTCCTTAACACAGCAACAGGGGCCCTTCATAACCTGCCTGGCTCAAGCCTATCTCTCTTAACACGTGCCTTCTGATACAAACACATGTTCCTTCTTAATGTAATTTGCTTTGCACAACACCATTCAAACTCATGTGGTAATATAACACACACAGGATTTGATACATGAGCACTAACCTGTAAGATGGGCGCCGTGCTAGGATCCCGTGGGTTTTCTGTGAGGAGCCTATGCTGTCAGATGAGTCCTGAGACTCCTCACTCTCTGATAAAGATGATACCTGAAAAACAGAACTGGTTTTACTAAGATGAACAAACCAAGTGGGAAAAGAATTAAATTTAAGTTTTACTTTCAGAAAAAATGATCTGTCTTCTACCACCCAGATTCATTTGTCATTAAATCTAAGGTCTAAAAGAAAGAAATAAAAGGAAAAAGGAAAAACTTTATTTCGGGAGTCTAAACTAAAGGAACATATAACACAGCAGGCTCCGAACTAAGAAGTCTATCCCCCACATAAAGCAATACTACTGCACTAGAGTTGTAAACATCAGTCTTGAGACTGATGCACGCTACTCAGATTTTTTATCATTAATGCTATCTGATTTGGATTTTGGACATGCTTTGAAATGCTATTAGATATCCAACTAATAACTAGTTAATAGATAATGACATTGAGGAGTCTGCTGAATATACAAACCTGTGTGTCAGGGAAGAGCTTTGGGCTAGACATACATATTGGAAGTCAGCTCTCTAGGACAGTCCTTAAAGCCACAAGACTGAGTGAGCTCAGGAAGGAGAGATAGGACAAAACCCAGGGACATTCTTAGCAGTAAGAGGTTGGAAAGAAGGGGAGGAACCAGCAAATGAGGCCAAGAATAAGCCACCAGTGAGGCAGGAGGATTACCAAATGAGCGTGGTGTCCTTGAAAAACTAGCAAAGACAGAGTATTAAGGAGAAAAGAATGATCAACCATGTCAAATTCTGCTAGCAGGTGAAGTAATATAAGGACCCAGGACAACCATTAGATCTGGCAAAATGGAGGTCACTGGCAAGGGCAGGTACAAACACAAGTAAACTTAAAAATCTGTAATTATTAGCTTTATCTCATTTCATAATTGAATTAGTTAATACATGTAAAGCATTTAGTGCACGGCATAGCGCAAGCACACATTAAATGTTAACTATCATTAATAATAAACCTATTGATTGTTTGTGAAAGCCTTCTTGATGAGATATTTAACTTCAGATCTGAAAGGCAAGAGAAGCCAGTGCTGGAGATGTTGAGGAGAAAACTTTCAAGCAGAGAAAAAAAGGAAAACCTATTAAAACTAGTCAGCACAATAACCATATGCAAGTTTTAAGTTATATCTTACAATTGAGGAAATAAGAATTTTTAAAATGTATTACATTTCTCAATATTTTTCTGAAGCTACATTGTGATACCTGACTTCTTTAAAAAAAAAATAAAACAGGCTTCTAGAAAGGACATAATAAATTCTCTAATTACCTACTGTATAAAGAAAGCCTTCCCCTAAACTATTTAGACTTAAGATCTTAAATTTCCAAAGAAGTGTGTTTTACACTGTATAGTCACCTTCAAAAACGAATTCAAGTGTACTTATACTGTTTTATATCTTAAATCTTTATCTTTTGATAGAAAAGAAAGAATGGGTCATAATCAGTAATAGTTAATAAATAACCACAGTAACAACCAATACAGTAAAAATTAGAAAAGATCAGTCGCTTCTGTTTCCTCAAGCATCACAGATATGCCATTTCTAATCTAAATCTTAGCTGTTTTACCTTTTGTCCGCAGATTTACTCCAGTCTCCCAGTGAACTCAAGTAAGAAAATAATTGCTAGAACTAAGACATTACTTATAACTAAGAGGAAGAACCTTTAATGACAGCAAGAGTAAAATCTTCACATAAAAACTCAGAAAAACCATGCAGGAGTCACCTTTCACAAAGGAAAAAACACAGAAAGATGCAGCTCCAGAGCTGACAGCCCTGGCAGATGCTGTATATACTCAAGAGGGAAAAAGAGCTACACAGACACTGTGTACAGTCGAGGAAAAATGAGTTATACAGACACCATATATGCTCAAGAGGAAAATCAGCTACACAGACACTGGATATACTGAAGAGGAAAGATGAGTTATACAAGACACTGTACATACTCAAGAGGAAAAACGAGCTACACAGACACTGTATATACTCAAGAGGGAAAATGAGCTACACAGATACTGTATATACTCGAGGGAAATGAGCTACACAGACATTGGATATACTCAAGAGGAAAGATGAGTTATACAAGCCACTGTATATACTCAAGAGGAAAAACGAGCTACACAGACACTGTATATACTCAAGAGGGAAAATGAGCTACACAGCTTTTCTTCCAAGATAGCTGCTTCTAAAAATGAAAGATGACCAAAGGCATTCTGAGACTCACAGGAGCCAGAAGATAAAATGGGGAGAAAGAGTAAAAAGCAAAGACCCCAGGATGGCTCTTTCCTTCCTACTGTTGCCAGGTGTAAATAGACAGGTAGACAGGTATAAGTAAGAACTTGACAATGAGGGAACTCTCTTTTATTTGATCACCATAAAGCATAAAGTAGGTACTTTCTTCACCCTTTCTTCAGAATTCTCTTTTTCGTGAAGGATACCACTAGGATAAAAAGGTGCTTTCCCTTCAGAAAATCTTTCATTTTATTAAATTCTAAACAATAGCTTCTCCCCAAAATTGCCTTCTGTTTTCACTGGGTAGAATATACATGAAACTAGAAGTTCTAAAACTTTTCCATTCACTTCATTTGTTCTATAGTCCAATTTCTAAGACATCATTATCTTGGTCTATAATATTGAAACTACAGCAACTTCAGTTGCCCAAAGACTCCAGGTTCACAAGTCCCCTCTCTCAACCACTAAGTCTTTTAATTTCTGTACCGTTTGCACGTGTGGTGGGTGAATTACAGAAGACTGAGCTGTCTGGATGACCCCCTGAACCTGTACTTGCTCTCCAGGAAGAGGTACAATTGTCACTGGCGCAGATCCTCTTAATGACATCTAAGAACAAATAAAAATTCAATTAACATAATATAATACCTGTGCATGTTAAGATAGCTGAGTTCTTTATACTAGAAAACACATTTTAGAGTTTATTATATATAACCACATCTATTAATCACACATTAGCTATTTTCTGTGTGCAGGAGATTGCACTAGGAGTATAAAATGAAAGAGTTATAATACAAGCAAAAATATAGAAACCAATCTATTGTGGGAGCAAAGATAGGGTGCTATTTCAGCTGGATCTTGAAAGATATATAATTTCCTGATGGTATGTGTGGGGAACAGGGTTGGAAGATATTTTGGGTGGTGGAACTGACTGTATGAAAACATCATTGTTCTTTAGAACATGTCCTTCTGAAGAGAGCTGGTTAAAAACCAATTAAGAAATCAAGGGTCAAAAAGTGAGAGGGGGGCTTCCCTGGTAGTCCAGTGGTTAAGACTCTGTGGTTCCACTGCAGAGGGCACAGGTTCGATCCCTAGTTGGGGAACTAAGATCCCCCATGATGTGTGGTGTGGCCAAAAAAAAATTAAAATTTTTTTAAAAAGTGAGAAATACCAACTTTGGGCAGCATCTTTAAAAAAATTTTTTTTTCATGATTCAATTTTGTAGTTGAAATATTTTATTTCTGTGGAAAGCAGATGGGGATTCATGGAAATACAATAAAATACTAAACTAAGAAAAGTCCACCTATCACCTTTCAAGACTCAGCTCAGGTTCTACCTCTTCCAAGAAGCTTTCCCAGAAATTTTCAGATCTCTCGCCTTCTCCTAGACTATACTGGTTCTAAGCATTCATCCTGGGCTTAAACACAAAATAAAATTCAAGATTGCTCCTCAAGTCCTGAAAATCACCTTCGTGACTCTTTTCTGTGTATGCATCAGGTCCCCAATAATAATGCCTTATTCACTTTCATTGAAGGTTCTTTATCCTTTCCCAAAGTTGGATTAAATTCATCTCACTATCTGCTGAATGCCTAGGTCACAAAATATTAGATATAAAAATTTATCCAAATTATCAGAAAGGGAGTGTAAAAAAACACCTTTTAAAATCACATTCCCCCAAAATAAAATACTTAGGAATAAACCTGACCAAGGAGATGAAAGACTTATAAGCTGAAACTGTAAAACACTAATAAAGGAAACATTAGTTGAAAGAAATGGAAAGATAGGCCATGCTCTTGGATTGGGAGAGTTATTGTTAAAACACAATAACACCCAAAGCAATCTACAGATTTAATGCAATCCCTCTCAAATTACCACTGATACTTTTCATCAAACTAGAACAAATAATCCTAAAATTCATATGGAACCATAAAAGGCCCAGAACTGCCAAAGCAATCCTGAAGAAAAAGAACAAAACATGAGGTATAATCCTCCCAGACTTCAACAATACTACAAAGCTACAGTAATCAAAACAGCCTGGTATTGGCATAAAAACAGACATATAGTTGAATGGCTCAGAAAAGAGTGCCCCAAAATAAACCCACATATGTACAGTCAGTCTTCAACACAGGAAACAATATTGTATGAATACTGTATATTCATACAATGGGAAAAGACAGTCTCTTCAGCAAGCAGTGCTGGGAAAGTTGGACAGCTACAACACACCCTCTCATTATATACAAAAATAACACGACACCATAAAACTCCTAGAAGAGAACATAGGCGAAACATTCTCTGACATAAATCGCTCTTATGTTTTCTTAGGTCAGTCTCCCAAGGCAGCAGAAATAAAAACAAAAAGAAAAGGGACCTAATCAAACTTACAAACTTTTACACAGAAAGGAAACCATAAACAAAACAAAAAGACAACCTACAGAATGGGACCAACAAGGGCTTAATTTTTCAAAATTTACAAACAGAGCATATAACTCAATAAACAACCCAATCCGAAAATGGGCAGACCACCTAAAAACATGTTTCTCCAAAGAAGACATACAGATGGCCAACAGGCACATGAAAAGATGCTCAACACTGCTTATTTATTAGAAAAATGCAAATCAAAACTATAGGGAAGGGGAATTCCTTGGTGGTCCAGTTGGTTAGGACTCCAAATTTCCACTGCAGTGGGCACAAATTTGATCCCTGATAGGGAACTAAGATCCTGCAAAAAAAAAATACAATGAGGTACCACCTCACACCAGTCAGAATGGCCGTACTTAAAAGTCTGCAAATAACAAACGCTGGAGAGGGTGCAGAGAAAAAAAAGAACCCTCCTACACTGTTAGTGAGACTGTAAGCTGGTGAAGTAGTGCAGACACTATAGAAAACAGTATGGAAATTCCTTGGAAAACTAAAAACAGATTTACCATATGATCCAGCAATCCTACTTCCTGGGTATATACTGGACAAAACCACAATTCAAAAGATACATGCATCCCCATGTTCACAGCAGCACTATACACAACAGGCAAGACATGGAAACAACTAAACACCCGTCAACAGATGGATGGCTAAAGAAGGTGCAGTATACGTAAACAACGGAAGACGACTCAGCCACTAAAGAGGAAATAATGCCACTTGCAGCATCATGAATACACCTAGAGATGATTATACTAAGTGAAGTCAGAAAGAAGGATGACAAATACCATATGATACCCACTTAAGGTCCTACTTAGGTACAGCACAGAGAACTATATTCAATATCCTATGCTAAACCATAAGGGAAAAGAATATTTTTTAAAAAACCATACATACATACATTATTCTTGTATTATTTTCCCTTATGGTTTAGCATGGGATATTGTGTGTGCTCACTCAGTTGTGTCCAACTGTTTGCTTCCCAGCGGGCTATAGCCCACCAGGCTCCTCTGTCCATGGAATTTCCCAGGCAGGAATACTGGAGTGGGTTGCCACTTGCTACTCCAGGGGATCTCCCTGACCCAGCAATCGAATCCATGTATCTTGCATCTCCTGCATTGGGAGGTGGATTCTTTACCACTAGTACCATCTGGAAAGCCCCTGCATAGGATATTGAATATATACCCTGGAGAAGGGAATGGCAATCCACTCCAGTATTCTTGCCTGGAGAATTCCATGGACAGAAAAGCCTGGTGGGCTATAGTCCATGGGGTCGCAAAGAGTCGGACATGCCTGAGCGACTAACACATACACACATATATATGGAGAGAGAGAGAAGAGAGATTATTATTGTTGTTATTAGTTGTAACTGAATCACTCTGAACAGTGTAAGTAACACAACATTGCAAATCAACGATACTTCGATGAAAAAGAAACAGAAATTCCTTTATCCAGGTACTGAAAACTGTAGATTCTCAGCACAAGGAACTCTATTCAACCTCCCTCACACACTGTAAGACACAAGACTAAACTCTAGCACAGCTTCAGTCAGCTTAAGGTTTTGTCCCTAGGATGACCCAGTATCTTCAAAAGGTCTCCCTAAGAAAGCTTAATGCTGCCAAAATAACTAACTGCTTGTTCTAGCCAACACGTTTGACCTCACTTTCTTGGAGCACTTAACCTTAGAAAAATTGGAGCTGTCAATCCTTTCTCTGACCCTTGAAATACAAATCTTTTACGGCACAGAAATGTCTCTCTCAAGGACCTGAAAGTCATCCCGTTGAAATGTAATCACCAAGAAGGACAGGGCCCTTGTCTACCAGTCTCTGTGGAAGGATGGGAACCTCAGTTTGAGAAGCACCAATTAGCAAGCAGACACAGATGGCGTGATCACACTGACCAACCTCTCCACCTAACATCTTCAATACCTTTCCTTTACTACACCCCAGCATTTTAAACGGAGAAGGCAATGGCAGCCCACTCCAGTACTCTTGCCTGGAAAATCCCATGGATGGAGGAGCCTGGTAGGCTGCAATCCATGGGGTCGCTAAGAGTCCAACACGACTGAGCAAGTTCACTTTCACTTTTCACTTTCATGCATTAGAGAAGGAAATGGCAACCCACTCCAGTATTCTTGCCTGCAGAATCCCAGGGACAGGGGAGCCTGGTGGGCGGCTGTCTATGGGGTCGCAGAGTCGGACACGACTGAAGTGACTTAGCAGCAGCAGCATTTTAAAAGGGACCCAACTTTTCTCTCAGCAGAGTTGAGTTTAATTTATGCTGGAGTTTCTCTTCCCTACTGTATGAATGAACTGTGAAATTCTTGCTGCCTTTAACAGGTGTCTAACTGTTTTTGTTGACAGTATCCCACTATGGAGATACAGAAATTACTGAGTAAAAATAGAACTCATGAATCTTAAGAGTCTAGCTCTAGAGGTATCATTATACTCAGAGGTTCCCTTACTTTTAAGATCCTAACTAAAGCCAGTTCAGTTCAGTCACTCAGTTGTGTCCGACTCCCTGTGACCCCATGGACTGCAGGATGCGAGGCTTCCCTGTCCATCATCAACTCCCAGAGTTTACTCAAACTCATGTTCATCGAGTTGGTGATGCCATCCAACTATCTCATCCTATGTCATCCCCTTCTCCTCCTGCCTTCATCTTTCCCAGCATCAGAGTCTTTTCCAATGAGTCAATTCTTCGCATCAGGTGGCCAAAGTATTGGAGTTTCAGCTTCAGCATCAGTACTTCCAATGAATATTCAGGACTGATTTCCTTTAGGATGGACTGGTTGGATCTCCTTGCTGTCCAAGAGACTCTCAAGAGCCTTCTCCAACACCACAGTTCAAAAGCATGATTTCTTCGGTGCTCAGCTTTCTTTATGGCCCAACTCTTATACCCGTACATGACTACCGGAAAAACCATAGCTTAAACGGACCTTTGTTGGTAATGTCTCTGCTTTTTAATATGCTATCTAGGTTGGTCACAGCTTTCCTTCCAAGGAGTAAGCATCTTTTAATTTCATGGCTGCAGTCACCATCTGCATTGATTTTGGAGCCCAAGAAAATAGTCTCTCACTGTTTCCGTTGTTTCCCAATCTATTTGCCATGAAGTGATGGGACCAGATGCCATGATCTTCATTTTCTGAATGTTGAGTTTTAAGCCAACTTTTTCACTCTCCTCTTTCACTTTTA